TGACAAGGCTGCAGCCATGTCATTTCTCAACAAGTTGGTTGCTTCAATCATTGAATCTGCTGGCACCAGGCCACCACCTGTTGGCCTGTGTGTCTTGGATGGTGAAGGGGTACTGCACAGGGTTGAAGTTTCCTTTACAACCCAGGGTGTCACAAATGACTGGTGCAATTTGGCAGGTTTGAGCCCAGCTGCCAAAGATTTGTGGTCCAAACTTCAAGATCAACCATGGTGCAGCTTGAGAATTACCAGCTCCTTTGATTCCTCTACCTTGCAGGATGTTTTGTTCTTCCTTTGCTATTTGGTGGCACATCCCAAAGAAGTCCTTAGCAAGTGCAACCTGTTTGAGGATGTTTGCAAGCCAGTGTTGCCAGATTTGCTGCTTTGGTTGGGCAAGATCATGGATGACAATGCCAAGCACTTGGCAACACAGCCTTTGCAGGATTTGCCACTCTTGATGACAAAGGGTGGCAGGCATAAGAGAAAAGCTGACCAGGTCAACAAATTTATCCTCCTTGACAAGTTGAAGCAGCACAAGAATTGCAGAAAGAGGGTTGCATCAACCCATGCCTCCCTGACAGCAAAGCATAGTGATTTGGTGGAGAGAGAAGCCCACATGACAGTGGTGCTTTACAATGAGAAGGTGGCCAAGGCTTTTGCAAATGGCCCAAGGCAGTTCTCCACTTCATGGGATCCTTCAACATATGGTGGCAAGAACACTCTGGTGAGCACCTTGTACTCACCTGCCACTGACACAGTGGCTTACATGCCAAACCAACAACTGAGGAGAATGCTTATGTCTGACCTTCAAGATTCTTTCATAGAGGATGCAAGAGCCTCAAAGCTTGGGACTTTGGAAGGATACTCAGAGCTCAGGTGCCTTTCACATGCTCTCTTGTGTGCAGCTGGCTGCAGCATCATGGACTTCAGGACCCCTGCAGAGCTTTTGGCCAGGCCACTCCAGCAGGGTGAGGTGAGAATTTTCTGGAATGGTGCATGGTACATTGCTGGCCCTGGTGATGAGTTGCCCAGGCCTGAGATTCCAGCTTCCTTGGTGCTCAAAGATTTGCCTTCCCTTTGTTCCATTTCAGACCAGGGACCAAGCAACACTGCCAGCCTCAATTTCCTCATGTACAGTGGAGAGAGGCTGATGATGCAAGTGCAATATGACTGGTTCCATCGAGGATGGAATGATGTGAAACTGAGTGCCAAAAAATCACTTGGGTACCCTTGGAAGACCATACTCCAGCTGGTGCTTCTCTTCAACATCAACTACTCCCCCTTTGGGAGTTCAGCATTCTTCTACAAAAAACAAGATGTCTTGGAAGATTTCCTGTCTACAAGAACCAGAGCAGACCCAACCTTCCAATCATTTATCCCTGACATTTGCAGGGAGAGGAGACAGAGAGAACCTGAAAGCCCAGAGGAAGAAGAGCAGCTTTTCAAAAGCCTAGCCTACATGTCCAATTTTCAAAAGAAAGGTGGCTTGGTAAAGCTCATGAGATGGATGAGCTTTTTTGAGGTTGCTATGGAGTGGAAAGGAGACATGTGGGGGACAAAACTGGTCCTTCAGTCTGACCAGCACAGGAAGGGAGAAGATGGCCCAGGGGAACTTCCAAAACAGCTGCAGCAACAACAGCCAGAGCAGCCAAATGCAGCCCAGGACAAAGCAGATGCACAAAGGGAGCTGAATGAGTTGAAAAGGGCCCAAGGGGTTTGGGGGTTAGCCCCCAAGATGGTTACACAAAAGAGTGTTGCCACCTTAGACATGCTGCTCATTGTGACCAAGGCAACTTGGAAGTTACATGCAGAGAGGGCAAGGAATGTTGTGAACCCACAGCAGGTTTTGGAACACAATGTGGCCAGCAGCATGAAGATGTTTTGGGCCTATGAATTGGAAGAGATGGTGGCAAACTCTTTGTGGGACAAGCAGGAGCTCAGACACATGTACCCAGACACCCAGGACAATGACCAGCTCCTGGCACAACACTGTGACTATTTTCACAATCTCCTTTGCACCAGGGCCACTTCCCTAGCTGCAGCATACACTTTGCCACCAATGAGGTGGAATGGTGTCCTCAGCCCTTGCAATTTTGAGGCAGAGAGTATGAGGGACAATTTGTTGAAAGAGTGGCAGTTGCTGTTGGGCAGCCAGCCTCCACACCAAGAACAAAGTGGACTGCTTAGAAAAGATGTTTTGGAGGCTTGGGACATTCACCAGAGTGTTGTGCATGGCCCATGAACAGGATAAGCTCAGAGGATTGCCTTGCAAAGATGGGGTTGCTTTTCCACACCAGCTCTTGATAGCAAAAACTGTGGGTGACTCCAGGGTTGTTGAGGTTGCACACCAACAAGGGCCTGACTTGCAGAGGGGCAGCAGAAACAATACTGTGCCAGATGTGTCCATCATGTTTGGGACAATCAAGTCTGGTGCTTTGGAGTTAAGGAAAGTGAAAAACACTGTGCAAGTGGACTCCCAAGAGATCATTTACAGCAACAGGAACCTCAGAAAGGTGAAAGTGGCAAGTTCCATGAACCCAAGGGGGCACAAACTTGATGAAGGACTTCAAAGGATGATGAGGAAAAGGCAAGGGGCCAATTGGTGGCCTTCACCTGCCCCAGGCAGTTTGTTTTCATCACTTGCTGCCACAGAGTGGTGCTGGTCATACATGCAGAACAATCACATTGGAGCCTCTGTTGATGATAGCTGGGTATCATGCTTTGCAGGCAGGCCTGGTGACTTGCTGGCACACCAGCCTTCTGGATCCTTGCTGAAAATTGTGGGTGCTGCAGAGTATGGTGTTCTCACTTGGCAAATGGATGTGTCCAGCAACACAACCTACTTCATGAGGCCCAACAGAATGCTCTTGCAATGGTGGCACATTGTTGATATGAATGACTGAGTGCATGTGCCTGCCAAGCCTTTTGTTTCAGATGTGGGTGCAATTGAGTGGGCCCTGACTGGGCCACCTATGCCTTTGGTAGTTGCTTTGGCCAAGAATGCCCTTTTTGTCAATGTTGGTCAGCTGAGGAGGCTGTTGAAGTCACTGGGGATTAAAATCCCTGCTGGCACTAGCAAAGCTGGTATGCATCAGCTTTTGGTTGACAGTGTGCTTGGGGATCCAGAGGAAAGAAAACATGCCATGAGTTCTTTTGAGCAAGCTTCCAAGGAGGAACCCTTTGACAGTGACTTAGAGGATGTTGTCAGCTGCTTGGATGAGGAGGATGCAAACACTTTGGATCTCAAAGAGCTCAAAGAGAAAAAGAGAAAAAAGAGGTACCAGAAGAAAGCAGCAGACCAGCGAGTGCCAGACAGAAACAGAAAAGGAAAAGGAAAAGGGAGAGGAAAGGGTAGAGGAAGAGGAAGGGGAAGGAAAGGCAGAGGCAAAGGAAAGATGGCACCAGCAGAAGCTGCAGGAGATGGAGAGGAGAGCCAGCACCCATGCCAAGCAGGGCCAGATTCAGCACAGGAAGCAACAGCCCCCAGCCAACTTCCAAGTCCAGCAGAAAAAGAAGAAGAAGAAACAGGCCCCTCACTTCTTCAACCACCAGAGGAAGCAACAGCCCCCAGCCAACTTCCAGGTGCAGCAGAAGAAGGAGAAGGTGCATCACTTCCTCACCCACCAGAGGAAGCAACTTCCCCCAGCCAACTTCCAGGCCCAGCAGAAGAAGGAGAAGGTGCATCACTTCCTCACATCAGAGGAAGCAACTTCCCCCAGCCAACTTCCAGGTGCAGCAGAAGAAGGAGAAGGTGCATCACTTCCTCAACCACCACAGGAAGCAACAGCATTCAGCCAACTTCCAGGTGCAGCAGAAGAAGGAGAAGGTGCATCACTTCCTCACCCACCACAGGAAGCAGCAGCTTCCACCCAGCAGCTTCCAGAAGAAGCTGCCAGCCCAGTTCTTAGCCCATCAAAGAATGCAGAGTCAGCAGATGTTGCAGAGGATGCAAGCCAGCTTCCAGCACCAAGTGGGGAGCCACCACCAGCAGAGCCAGCACATGCAGTCAAGAGACCCAAGGTTTACAAGACACCACAGGAGGTCTTTGTGCACATGTTGCCCCCTGGTGCCAGGATGGTTCTGAACCATAATGACCACAGGTTCATGACTTCCTGGGTGGGGATTGAGAAGGGCATGCCTGAAGACTTGAAAGGGAAACATTTTAGCAGAAAATTTGCAAGAAAACCTTGGAAGGATGCCTTGGCTGAGTGCCACATGAGGGTCTGGGAAAAATGGTCCTATGTCAAGAAACACTTGCCTTTGCCCATTGGGATGGAACCCCAAGAGCCAGGGGTTGTGCCAAATGAAGTTCTTGAAGCCCTAGAGCCTTTTATCAACAATTTACCAGCAGAGAAGAAGGCCTCTGGGAAGAAATGATATGATTCAACTTTCAAGGTTTTATTTTAAAATTCAGCAAATTATTTATTGGAGATTGGCAAGCTGAGTTGACTTCCACACCTGTTTTTTGCCTGTTCCCATTGGCCTTTTCAAAGCAGTTCATTTCACCAAAGGTGAGTTTGTCAGCTCATTTTGAGCTTCAGAAACAATCAGAGCTTGCAGCAGAAGGAAAAACATGCACTTTTGGAAGCATCTTTGGCATGTTGAATCAAGTGACACACATGCTTAAATGTTCAACTGCAGCAATTTGAAGCAGCACTTGGTTACACATTCTTGCTCATTATTGATGTGGCTCCCTGTGGCAGGCAATCTGGGATGCTGCTGAAATGCTGCTGACCTTTGGAACTCATGACTTTTTACAGCAAGGGACAAAACAAAACTGAGTTGGCAGCTGGCTTCAGCTGTGGGTTTGCAAGGGGCTTCAGTGGGAATCTCAAGGGGTGACTTGGGAATCTCTTGGGGTTCCTCAGGGGTTTGGTGGGAATGCATTGGGGCTAAAAAAATCTAAAAGGCCCTTAACAAATCAGTACTGCATGCCGCCCTATGATATACCCTGATATCTCTCTAATTGAGTTGGTCGACCCGAGTCGTCCCATGTTTTCCAGGAGCCTGAAAAGAAGGAGGAGGCGTGGGTTTCTGTTTCACCTGTGGCTCACCCATCTTGCAGATTGAAACTTGAATCGAATTCTTAACAGCTTAATCCACCATGGTTTACTCATTCAGCCAGATGATATCAACTTCAGATCTACCGTGACCTTCACAATTATAGTAGATATTTCCACAAATATGATATATATATATATATATTATTGATGGTATTTCTGATGAAGATGCATTGGTCATTCTGCTATATTATATAGTTCCTTCTGAGATCAAGCAACTATCACTTCTATTAACATTTGCACCGAAACCTTAGTTTCATAGACCCATTTCCCCAATCAATCCTCATTAAGCCCTGATGAAACCCATGAAATCCCATTAACTTCCTGTGGAGTGTCATCAAATCCTATTATATCTATTTATATCTCATCAAATCCTATTAAATCCGATGAAATCCGATTAAATCCCATTAACTCCCTATGAACCCCCATGAAATCTCCCATTTTTGCTGGTCAAATCCACAACTTTCTTCGCAACGCGACGGCCCGCAGGTCCCGGTGGAAGACGGTCCGACGGACGAAGAGTTGGCAAAAGCAGCGGCCATGAAGAAGGACGGTCCGACTGTCCGACTGTCCCGGAAAAACCGGTGATTTTTTGGCAGAACATGTGGAGGTGTCCGAAGATAGGCCCCCTAATGCTAGGCGTCACCATGGGTTTCACTACTAAATCATAGTCATCCATGACTTGGATGTTTTTGGGGGTAGCCCTATTTGAGGAACCCCCCGGTGTCAGTTGATTTACGATACAGATTCACCGAGGAATGGGTCACAGTCGCAAGGATGAACTGGAACGGATAGGATTTGAAAGAAACACAGGTCTGAAAATAGGGAATACCCTCTGGTAATTTAACGTAGCTATTGGAAATGGCCATTTATAGTTGATTTACCCATTAAAAATGGTGATTTTCCATAGCTATGTTAGTTTACCAGAGGGTATGCATGAATATGCCCCCATCTTATAGCTAGTTCAAAGGAAACATGACGATTCACCAGTGGATGGAAGGGGGTAGCCAGTCTTCAGTATATCCAGACAAAAGTTGAAGAAACTCAGCTGGACATTCAACATAGGCATCAGCATAACAGGTGACCATTGTAGAAGATCTGCCCTATGGCAACGGGCAGATCCCCCAGTTGTGATGTTCCTGTTGAGCCAGCTGTGGATGATGCTAAAATACTAGCCTTCCGGCAAACTTTTGTCTACTGTCTACAAACCCTTGCAACTTTAGATTATCCAGATTTATCCGATTTAAATCCAACAATTTGATTATATAGTTGGAACTTTCATAGCGTTCCAGTGCCACTTCTTTCTGCTGGTGTTTTCATTTTTGAACAAAGCCTGTTTGGGATGATACACCGAGCTGATGAGCATGTTTGTGCCACCGGGTCAAAAAACCGTACGTGTAGTCGTGCTCATTTCAGGAAGTTGAAGTGGGGTGGGGTGGGGTGGGGTGGGGTGAGGATAATAGCAACCGTGTCTATGGCTACGTTACAAGATCTTCACTTGCACTTCATGCTACGCTACATGATCTTCACTTGCACTTCATGCTACGCTACATGATCTTCACTTGCACTTCATGCTACGCTATATGATCTTCACTTGCACTTCATGAGTGCCGTGCGAAACATTTCTTTGTAAACCATAGTGCTGGGGAATTCCAACGCACAGAAAGATTTCGAAACAGAGCCTTGAGTGTTCACACAGGCACCATTGACAGCTGCTGGACGCAAATGAAAACTTATATTCCAAAGTCCCTCAGCTCTCAGTCAAAACAAATACCTTTGCGTATCCGCAGTTGGCAATGGAGATTCACACATGCTGAGCATGATAACTTGTTTCAACTGTGTGGCACTCAAGTGGCCAAGTTGTAGGCAAGACAAGTCAGCGAGTAAAAAACGCACGCCGCTGTGGAAATAGACACATCGGCTCCCAGAGATGCATCCGTGGAGGTAACGGCATTTTGACAAAATTTGCTTGCCGCTGAGGTAAAACACGCAAAAAAAGAAAACGCAACCAGAATTAGACATTTTTCATCATCGCCAGAGACAAAATCACTGGTAAATCCCAGTGTTGGTCATAAGTGCCGAGAAGTGAATTGCTAACGCCTACACGTTCCATTCCCGACCCGGCGGGATGTTTGTGTCAGCGGGGTTGAAACGACCAACCAGTCTGGTAGTTTGCTGATGTTTTTCCCATCAGCTTTACTGTACACAATTTTCATCAATTTTCCATCTAACTAGGGGGGTGTTATAGTTTTAGAGTTCTTTTATCAAACCCAGCCAACTTTAGCTCTTGACCCTCCAGCAATCAAACATGGCAATGGAGGTCTGCTTCGCTGAGAAATCCATCGAACTCAAATGCTGGGTGATTTTCCGGCAAGCCATGTTTGACACCGGAAGGTACATAAATATATATATATAGCTATATATATAATAATAAATATATAATATCATTGGAACGGGTAAATCATCATGTTTATATATGTTTATCATAACTCACTATTCCTGGGCCTCGGCTTCCCTTTACACAAGCCATCTCTCACTGTAACAAATTTCCAGAGGGTAAATCCCATGATATTTTTCCACGGCTGATTCCCATGAAAGAAGTTCACCTTTTTTTGTTGCAAACTAACTTCTCCCCAGTCCCAGACATATTTTTAAGCCACACATTGGTGACTACTTCCAATATATATATATATATATATATAACTTTTCACAATTAAGCCAGAAATTGGTGATTCTATGGGGCTCTTGTTCAGTGATATTCCTCCCAGTCAAAAAAAAAGACAGAAAAAATCTGGGCCCCTACGTTTTTCGGTCCCAGGGTCCCAGGTGACGTCAGCGCTCTCCAGGAGAAGGAAGCTGCCCGAGAAGCCTTGAAGGAAGCCGTCGCCAAACCAGAACTGTCCAGGCCATGGCCATGGCAACGGTAAACACATGGAAGACCATTCTTCCATGTTAAAATATGTTAAACACCTTGAAATCTGAAAAGTCTGAAAATGATGTATATAATTCTGGGAACATAACATCTATGTGAAAATCAAGTTAAAATATATTCATCACCTAGGAATAGCATCAACAAAACATCCGCAACTCGTGGGAACTTCATGATTTGAGTATGTGAGTATGTGATGTAAATTCAGGAAGATCCCATTTTTCACAAAGGTCCCAAAGCTGGCCCGTCACACACAGATATTCCAGAATGACTATAACTTAGGATATTTCTAACTTGAATCCACTTTATCACAGATCATCAATATGAATATAACAACTATAATTATATACTCCATCTATCATGAATCCAGCATGACTATATAGTCATCCCCCCAAAAACAGATCATCATTTTGGGGCTGAGTGACCACAGGTTGGAGCAGGCGATCGAAAAGGCCCAGAAGGCAGAGGCCGTCGTCAGCGCGGCGTGCTCACAAGAATAGTTTGACGTTTTTTTCTTAATTCACCTGATTCAAACATGGTTGTTCACCATGAAAAATGAGGTTTTGATTCATTTTACACTCAGAAAATATGGGGATATGGGGAGACACTTGATAAATCCGGTGACAAACATGGGAATTTATGTAATGACGGAGGACCACTCGAGGGAAACCTTGGAGGTGTTGTTTACTTTTTTGTTTTGTTAGCAATACCTGGGGATACGTGGGAAACAGAAACAAAACCCAACTACCCTCTGGTAAACTAACATAACTATGGAAAATCACCAGTTTTAATGGGAAAATCAACTATTTTCTATGGCCATTTTCAATAGCTATGTAACAAATTACCAGAGGGTAACATTGTTAGTAAAATCCGTCCACATTTTCGTGGCGAACGTCATCATTTTCCCGCCAGTTGGAAGCCAAAGAACTCGCCGCGGCTGAGAAGGTGAAGAACTGAGTGGTTTCCTATGGGGCAACACCCCTTTTTTAGGTCAAACCCCGGATTTTGCTGAACCATGGTTTATAGAAAATTAGGGGGTGATGGGGCCCCAATAGTCATGCTTTGATACTTAAATGATCTTAAATGGTAGCTTCCCTTTTTTAAACAGCTGTTTGGTGTTTATTAATCCAGGGTTGACATTATCATCCATTGAAATAGATGGGGATTTTCCATGAAATAAACCATCTAGCTATTGGGGTAGCCTCATGACTATGGGTTTCCCCCCGATTGATTTGAAAGCTGCCTGGAAGGTGAACGTACGATGGACAAAGCATCACAACCATTCTGCATCATGCCGTGGGTGCCTATGATAACTATGAAACACTGCATAGAAATGGATTACTTGGTGGCTCATCCCACGAATCGTAAGTAGGATATAACCCCAGTTATAAGTGGATTAACCCTACTTATCCCATTTATAACTGGGGTGAACTAACCCTTATAATATTTTATCATGGGAAAACTCATCTACCAGCTGGTTTTTGTGATTTCTTCCATCCACAGGATTTGGCAGGTATCCTCTTTTTCAATGGTGATATTTCATAGCTATATTAAATGGGGATAGTAGTGGAGTATGCATGGCATTTTGCGGATGATCGGTACTACCGACCTGGTAAACGTATACATAAATAGCGAACTGGAAAATGGCCCAGTCGAAATAGTGGATTTACCCATCAAAAATAGGGATTTTCCAGTTCGCAAACTGTTAGTTTACCAGAGGGTAGATGCTTTTTAGCATGTGTGAACTAAATCCCTCTGATTATAATATCCAACGATATATACTTATATACAGATACATAATAGATCAACTGCAGATAGTTATATCCCTATGATCATCATTGTCCCTATCATATCCCTAAATCTCATGGTCTCTGGAATAGATACTTGCTGATATGAATGGTCTTTTGACATATTGTCCCATTAAAGTCTCCCCCTGAATATTCAAAAAATGATATCCCTAATGGATAATTCATATAAGTCACTAAAAATAGATAGCTAATGGATAATTCTTCCCCTTAAAAAAATACATCATGATTAACTCACATCAGGCCGTCCGCATCAGGCCCTCTCCGTGGAACGGCTGAAGCAGGACGCACGTGGCAAGCTGAGGGACGCCGAGGAGCCGCGGGCCTCGGAAAAAATGGGGATCGAACTAGGAAAGATGGGGATTGCAACCAATCTTCTTGGGAATATTGATGGGTTTTTTCATGTTTTTTCTACTTTTTTTATCAACAGACTGGTTTTTTAGCATCAGACAGGGCGCGATACAATGGCGACCCCCATGGACTGGAGATTTCACCGAGAATGTGATCTGGTTCTGAAAATGGATGTGTTTGAACATGGAGTGCACAGCAAAAAATGGGCCATGAAAAATGTACCCTCTGGTAAACTAACATAGCTATGGAAAATCACCATGTTTAATGGGAAAATCCACTATAAATGGTCATTTTCAATAGCTATGTTAAATTACCAGAGGGTAGATGATGAAAACCAGTGGAAAGCATCGGGATACTCTATTGAAAAGACACCCAACTGGGAATTGTTTTATAAGGCGAATTAACTGGTGATATGTTCTACAGCGAACATGGAAAAACCCATGGCCATTTTGATTCGTGGAAAAAACATGTTAATCGATCCATGCGAAATATGATGGAGGATTGTTGATATCTTAGATCTTTACAGGAAGGGGCCCCAGTTCGTTAGCTCAGTTGGTTAATAACTATAATAACAATACAAGGTGGTGCCCCATAGATAGCTAAGTTGGTTTATAACTCCCATAACTATGGTTTATGGCAGATATAACTATAGTTAATGGGGTTTATAAACCAACTTATAACTGGGCACCATCCTGTAGTGTATTGTACTTATAACTTATAACTATATTTAGATGGGGTTATAAACCCACAAACATAACTGGGGGGGGTCTTGGGGGGCCATCCTGTAGGGAATTAGTTGACCCAGTCTCACTGTGAACCAGACAAGTGGCGATAGAAGCCTGGGCGAGAACGATTCTAGACGATTTTTTTTGCATATTTTTGCGATGTTTTTGTGGTGTTCACTTTTTAGCCATAGGCCGTGCAAGTATAGCAACGATGGTGTCCCTACACAGTTCAACAGAACATCTTTCATAACTAGTACTGTAACTAGCTGGTGCCGCTGTTTCGTGACTCCTCCCCACCAAACATATGGGGGCTCAAAGATGAGATCCCGCAAATCTATGAAATACGATGGAGACCCCAGCAGCTGAGCATCACGCGGTTGTTTGCTCATTTTCCCATTAAAAACTGCCATTTTCTGGATCCATTTTCAGATAAATCCAAAGAAGATAGAGAAATCTGCCACCATACTTATTATTATACTATCTTATCCCATTATTCTATAAAGATCCTTTTCCACACTAGATCATTTACCATGTTCTATCCCATTTCTCTATATTTTCTAGACATCTCTATCATGGTTCCATCCTGTTTCTGGCGACACCTGGCGCCGGATGACAGATGATGACAGGATTCCGGAAACGTGGACAAGCTGAAGGTGCAGTTACACATGGTGACGCACGTTAAAACGCACCGTTAAATGTAGTCTATTGGAACTCAAAGAAAAAAGCCTCCTATCCAGGAGGAAAAACATAACTTATAACTTATAACGCTCAATTGTTTGCATGTTAAAGTTAAGGGCTATGAAGTATGAATCACCATATCAACCTTGAAGGGCTGATGAGAGCTGATCGTTCACCCTCGTAGGAGTTCTTGCCAGTCACAGATTTGGATCTCTCCAAAAACCGGAGAAACGACATACAACCAGTAGGATTTTTGGACTGTTGGATACTGGATATATCCCAGTTCTCCCGAAATCCAGTGGTTCATATTTCCCAATGTTCATGGGATGGGGAAAACTGGCAGAATTTTACCACTGGAAAAATCGGGAAAAAACACAACCAGATGCCGCTGAGATGTCCCAAAATGTGGAAATGTCCTTCTTTTTTCCATGGTTTCGTTTAGCGGGTGTTTAATATTAGGGGAACCGAGTATATATGGCTATATGGCTATACTATATATATAATATTGTGGTTATATTTGATGATGATGGAATTTCACTTTCATATGAATACCCAGAATCAGAAGTTTCCATCAGATTTTCCTAGTCATAGTTGCTAGCCACTTCCTCAGCTCTCATGTTCGTTGGTCAAAATCTTATCATTTAACCAATTCAAATGCTCAGCCATTGGAGATGGTCATCTAAGTATTCCCAATCTTGGTCCAGAATATTTGGCCTCATTTCATGTTCTGTTTAGTTCCCATTATTATCCTATGATTGTCCCATTATTATACTATATTATCCCATTATTACAGTAACCATACATGTTTGCTATAATAATTTCGGTTCATCAAGCCACTATTTTTAACCAATATCTACGCCAATACTAACTAAGCGATTTAATATGGCTTTGTCTTTATGGTACCTCTACATCCACTTCTTAATTATCATTGTCCTTCTTAAAATTGCCATTTGGGGAGACAAAAGCATGGTATATGCCCATGTTCTGTCCAGCCCCAAACACTATCGGTTCTTCGGTTCTTATATAATTTCATTCAATATCCCGCTACATATATATATATATATACATAAATAATATACATATGTGAGCTGTGTTCAAAACCCCTGTTGATTGATGATTCGTTCGGGGATTATACTAACCAATGTATTGGGGAGTGTAATGACATAGGAAAATCCTGTTCTGAACCAGTCCGTATATCAGAAGAAACGACCGGTATCAAAGTTTTTTTTCCCACACTGCCTGCGATGAAATTACCAGTGGTTTTAAATGGGTGTCATCTAATAAATTAGCAACTATGAAAAAAGCGAAACAATGGATTTTCACAACATGTTCCATTTTTGTAAAAGAAAACAATGGGTTGCACATATCCCATTAAAAGATGTAATATTAATATTCATACTGAACAACGTATCTCATGGGTTTTCACAACATATCCCATTATACATACATGGGTGTACATGTTCAAGCTTGAAACATATTTATATCCCATATACATAATACATTTATAATATTGATACCCATTAATATTTTTATCCCTATCTAATAACCCATTAGTATTAATATAGTTGTTACATATCCCACATATTTCCTAGCAATTCATGGGATATATATATATAGATATTACAACAATGTGTTACAATATTAATACTGGTTGGTGGTTTCAATCATTTTTTATTTTCCATAATCTATGGGATGTCATTCTTCCCATTGACGAACTCATATTTGTCAAGATGGTTATTGCACCACCAACCAGTAATGACAATAGTTAATAGAATGGGCTAGTGCCCGGGTGCCGCCGACCCTCTAAAAAGGGGGTTGGCGGGCTTTGACATGCTCTGATGCTTCATGCTCTGATGCTTTGTGTGTGCTTAAGGCTGAAAGTGGTGGGAAAATCATCCCAGCAAGATCAACCATATAGAAAAACTTTCGTGTAATTCCCCAAAAAAATACAGGACACATTGTCTGTTTAAAAAAAGCAGTGGTGGATCTCTCCCTGGTGGAAGCTGCCGCGAGGGATTTTAGGCATTTTAGGGGTTTGAAGGCTGGCAAACGGCAGGCTTGAACGCCCTAACAGCAGAGGGCTATGGAGGCAAACGGCAGGCTTGAACGCTCTAACAACAAATGCCTGTGGCCAGAGTGCCTGGTCGAAGCTGCCGCGAGGGATTTTAGGCATTTTAGGAGTTTGAAGGCTGGCAAACGGCAGGCTTGAACGCCCTAACAGCAGAGGGCTATGGAGGCAAACGGCAGGCTTGAACGCTCTAACGAGTGCCGGGTCGCAGCTGCCGCAAGGGATTTTAGGCGTTTTAGGGGTTTGAAGGCTGGCAAACGGCAGGCTTGAACGCCCTAACAGCAGAGGGCTATGGAGGCAAACGGCAGGCTTGAACGCTCTAACAACAAATGCCTGTGGCCAGAGTGCCTGGTTGAAGCTGCCGCGAAGGATTTTAGGGGTTTGAAGGCTTTGCAAACGGCAGGCTTGAACGCCCTAACAGCAGAGGGCTATGGAGGCAAACGGCAGGCTTGAACGCTCTAACAACAAATGCCTGTGGCCAGAGTGGGGATTGAAGGATTGCAAACGGCAGGCTTGAATGCCCTAACAACAGATGGCTATGGAGGCAAACGGCAGGCTGCAACGCTCTAAGAACAAATGCCCGTGGCCAGAGTGCCTGGTGGAAGCTGCCGCGAGGGATTTTAGGGATGGCTTGAACGCTCTAACAACAAATGCCTGTAGTTGGACCACGGCTTATAGACGGCCGTGGGTTTTGGGGGGTTTCGGGGGGTTTTGGGGGGGGCTGATAACGTTCTTGGCTGCCCGCCTTACAAGATATTCTCTTGGACTTGCTGCTACGCTATCCACTCTTGCACCGTACGCTGGCACACGCTATCAAGTCCTTCTTGTTAACTTGCAAGACACTCTTGATTTTTGCATTGTTGTTTCTGGCATGCGGCTGATACGGCGCCCTTGGAAGGGTTGTTAATTTTGAGATGTGCCATTTACGATCCCTTGGAAGGGTTGCAAATTTCAAAAATGAGGCTTTCCGAAATGGGGTGGGGGGTGTGGTGTGTAATTGGTATTAACGTCCTTGACGAGTACTTCTCTTGCATTATGGAACATGTACACTTGCACATGCTGTCGTATGATCATCAGGGGGGTGGGGGGTGTATTAACGCACTTGACGAGCATTTCCCTTACGTTACGGAAAATGTTGCCGTTGTTGACATGTTGCACATGCTTTCTGACGCGCTTTTGTTGGATTTCTTGCGTGAACCTATTTTGGCACCAAGGATTCTCCCCACAAAAGATTCAACATGGCCCAAGTCAACCACAAACAAAATATCTTTACTAAGACTTATCATTTTCGAGGTCCTTTGTGGGGTAAATCCTATAGAACCATTGTTGCTGGTACTCAACAAATAGATGGAACATGGAAACGCTTCAGAAAATGGCGACCTATGTCAAAAAAAATCAACAAGTGTACAAAAAAAGATACACTTGGGCCTACAGCTGGACATGGCGTCACAATGCTGCCTTGTTGCAGTCTGTGGCTTCTGCATTGCCACAGGC